TGTGATTAAAAAGGAGGGCAGATAAAAGAAGGCAGTGGTGAGAAGCAAAACAGACTTTAGAAGAGGGGCAGGAAAAAAGAGGGAGAGAAGGATAAACAAAAGAAAATAAGATAGAGGGAAATTCACAGTTAGTAATCATAACTGTGAATGTGAGTGGAATGCACTCACCCATAAAACAGAAGTGAATAGCAGAATAGATCAGAAGCCAGACTCCAACAATATGTTGTTTACAAGGAACATGCTTGAAACAGAAAGACACACACAAAATTCAAATAAGGGGTTGTAGCAGAATCTGTTATGCTTCAAAACAGACACACACACACACACACACACACACACACACACACACACACCAAATAGCATAGCATCCAAATTTGTAAAGGAAAAGTTAAATGACTTCTGGAGGAAACAGTAAAACTTACTAGTGGAGGACCTCAGCTTTCCCTACTCAGAGCTAGATAAATCTAACTATAAAATAAATAAGAAAGAAGTCAAGGAGATGAATAGAACCTTAGAAGAGTTAGATATGATAGATCTCTAGAGAAAACTGAATGGGAATAGAAAAGAGTATATCTTTTTTTTTAGCTATATAAGGAACCTTCACAAAAATTGATCATGTATTAGGGCATAAAAGCCTCACAACCAAATGTAGAAAAGCATAAATATTAAATTCACCCTTTTTAGACCATAATGCAATAAAAATTACATTCATTAAAGGCCCTGGAAGCATAGATTAAAAATTAATTAAAACTAAATGATCTAATCCTCAGGAATAAGTGGGTCAAAGAACAAACATAGAAACAATCAATAATTTCATTAATGAGCATAACAACAATGAGACAATATTCCAAAATCTGTGGTAGGCAGCCAAAGCGGTACTTAAGAGAAATTTTATATCTCTAAATGCATGCATCAATAAAAGAGAGAAAGAGCAGATCAATGAATTAGTCATGCTGCTAAAAAAAATAAAAACAGAAAAAGAACAAATTAAAATTACTCAATTGAATGCCAAAATAGAAATCCTGGAAAATCAAAGAAGAGATTAATAAAATTGAAAGTTAAAAACAATCACTGAACTAATAAATAAAAGTAGGAGCTGGTTTTACGAAAAAGCCAATAAAATAAATCAACCATTGGTTAATTTGATTTAAAAAAAAAAAGAGAACCAAATTCCCAGTATCAAAAATGAAGAAAGGTGAATTCACCACCAATGAAGATGAAATTAAAGCAGTTATCAGGAGCTATTTTGGCTAACTATATAAACTTTGAAAAAAAATAGGTTAAGAAAGATTCCTACCAAATTCCTTTTATGACACAATATATGGCACTGATATCTAAACTAGGAAGAGTCAAAACAGAGAAAGAAAACTATAGACCAATTTCTTTAATGAATATCAATGAGAACATTTTAAATAAAATACTAGCAAAGAGATAACAGCAATATGTCACAAAGATCATACACTATGACTAGGTGGGATTTATACCAGGAATGCAGGGCTGGTTCAATATTAGGAAAAATATGAACATAATTAACCATATCAATAATAAGAACAACAATCATATAATTTTATCAATCCATGCAGAAAAAGCCTTTGACAAAATACATCACCCATTCCTATTAAAAACACTAGAAAGTATAGGAACAAATGGAGTATCTGTCTAAAACCAAGAGCAGGCACTACCTGTAATATGGATAAACTTGAAGCCTTATAAGATCAGGGTGAAGCAAGGATGACTATTGGCACCACTATTATTCAATATTGTACTAGAAATACTAACTATAGCAGTAAGACAAGGAAAAGAAATTGAAGGAATTAGAATAGGCAATGAGAAAGCAAAACTGTCACTCTTTGCAGATAATATGATGGTAGAATTAGAGAATCCTAGAGAATCTATTGAAATTGATTGAATTACTGAAGTAATTAACAACTTCAGCAAAGTCATAGGATATAAAATAAACTCACATCAGCATTTCTATATCCTACCAACAAAACCTAGCAGGAGGATATAGAAAGAGAAATTCCACTTAAAATAACTGCAGACAATATAAAATTACTTGAGAGTCTTTCCTCCAAGACAAACCCAGGGATTATGTGAACACAATTACAAAATACTTTTCACACAAATAAAGACAGATTGGAGAAAATATAATTGATTATGAATAGGCCAATCCAATATAATAAATGACAATTTACCTAAGTTAATTTACTTATTCACTTCCATAACAACCAAACTACCATAAATTATTTTATAGAGCTAGAAAAAATAATAACAACATTCAGCTAGAACAAAAGGTCAAAAATACCAAAGAAATCAGTTTTTAAAAATATAAAGGATAGTGGCCTAGCAATTCCAGATTTCACACTATATTACAAAGTAGTTAGCATCAAAACAACCTGGTACTGGCTAAGAAATACAGTGGTGGATCAGTGGACTAGATTATGTATGCAATACATAGTAGGAAATGACTATAGTAATCTAGATAAATCTAAAAATACAAGCTTTGGGGGCAAGAACTCAACATTTGGCAAAAATTGCTGGAAAAACTGGAAAGCAGTTTGGCAGAAAATAGACACAGACCAACATCTTACACTGTATACCAATATAAGGTCAAAATAGATAAAGGATTTAGACATAAAGGGTGACATCAAAAGTAAATTAGGAGAGCATAGAAAAATATACCTGTCAGATCTATAGGATAAGGGAAGAGTTTATGACTAAATAAGAGATATAGAGGATCACAGGAAGCAAAATAGATAATTTTGATTACATGAAATTTAAAATCTTTTGCACAAACAAAACCAATATGCCAAAACTAGAAGGAAAATAGGGGGAAATTTTCACAGCAAGTTTTTCTGATAAAGGCCTCATTTCTCAAATATGTATGGAACCCAGTTGATAAATGGTCAAAAAATAGGAAATTTTCAGAAAAAGAAATAAAAGCTATCAATAGTCACATTTTTAAAAATGCTTTAATTTGCATTAGAAAAATGCAAATTAAAATGAATAAGAGATACTACCTCATACCTCTCAGATTAGCTAACATGACAGAAGAGAAAAATGACAAATGTTTCAGGGAATGTGGGGGGAAAATGGGTCACTTGTGTGCTGATAGTGGAGTTGTGATAGTGGAGTCCAACCATTCTGGGGAACAACTTGAGCTATGCCCAAAGGGCTTTAAAATTGTGCATACCCTTTGATCCAGCAATAGCTCTTCCAGGTCTGTATCCCAAAGAGATCAAAGGAAAGGGAAAAGGACCTATTTGTACAAAAATAATTACAACAGCTTTTTGTAGTGGAAAAGAATTCAAAATTAAAGGCATACCCATCAATTGGGGAGCAAGTTATGGTATATGATTGTGATGAAGTATTATTGGACTATAAGAAATGATGAACAGCATGACTTCAGAAAAACCTGTGAAGACTTAGATGAACTCATGCCAAATGAAGTGAGCAGAACCAGGAGAACATTTTACAATAGCAAAATTGTAAGGACGATTGACCATGAAAGATTTAGCTACTCTGATCAAGACAATGATCCAAGACAATTCCAGAGGACCTATGATGAAAAATGTCATCCACCTCCAGAGAGAGAACTGATGAATCTGAATGCAGGTTGAAACATAGTTTTTAAAGTTTCTTTATTTTTCTTGTTTTATTTCTTGTCTGTGTTTTCTTTTGCAAAGCTAACATGGAAATATGTTTTGTATGACTTCGTATATAGAATAGATATCAAATTGCTTACCTTCTCAAGGCAAGGGGAAGAATAGAAAAGAAGAGAATTTGGAACTCAATTTTTTTTAAATGAATGTTAAAAAAATTTACATGTAATTGGGAAATATCTAATGAAATAAATAAAAATGTATTTTAAAAAATAAGTACAGCTATCCAAAAAGTATGGACTAATGCCTTGAGAGGTAGTAGGTTTTCTGTTACAGGAAGCCTTCTGGTAGAGACTGGATGAACCACTTTTCAAGTATATTGTAGAGGGGATTGTTGACTGGGTGCTTGTTAGAGAAGATGGTCTCTTGAGGTCCTTCCAATTCCAAAATTCCGTATTATGAAGCCCAATTGGGGCGGCCCTGGCCCTGGAGTCAGGAGGACCTGGATTCAGATCCAGCCTCAGGCACATTACACTCACTAGTTGTGTGACTCTGGGCAAGTCACTTAATCCCAAATGCCTCACCAAAAAAAAAAAAAAGTATGAAGCCCAATTAAGTAAATGTATTTGATTTGCAAACTTAACATCATTATAGGGTATTAGAGCTCTAAGGAACCTGAAAGGTCATCTAGTCTAATCCTCTCATTTTTACAGGTGAAGAAAGTGGGCCTGGCAAAGTTAAGTGGTGTGTCCAATGTCACAGAACTATTAAGTGAAAGAATAAAGATAGAAAGCCCGTTCTTCTCCAAAGCTCTTTCCACCACCAGGTAGACATCATTGTTCCCAGTAATTAGATGAATTGGGCTCCACACTCCAGACTCATTTGTTTATTTGGACTTTTAAAAGCCCATATTACGAGCCCACTGGCCATTGCTGCCTGCCTTTATGCTCTATGTCTTTCCATATGTCTAATCCCTATTGTATTTGAGGCCTACCTCAGTCAGTCTGCAGTTCAGGTTTGGGACTGTAACAAAATGAGACACTCACAGGCTAGATAAGAGTTAACAAAAGCAAGTTTCTATAGTCATAACATGGCAAAACTATTCAGCAGGGATACAGCATTGCTTCTGCTGATTGTAGCTTCCCTGCTTTTGAAATTGCCATAGTCAAGGAAGGAGTTTCTGACTTCTTCAGTGATAGCTTTTATACTTAAGCCACCTGGATGCTATATTGATAATTCAAATCTTAGTCCCCTGGGCCAAATCTTGAGGTTGGTTTCAATATCTTTGAAGGGGGAAAAAATAGTCTAGCATGCATGGGCAGGAATCCTTTGTACATATTGTTCCTACTCCTAACCTTATTGCCTCTCTCCCTCTCTCTCTCTCTCTCTCTCCCTTAGGTGGGTGGAGCAGCTGTCCTGGCTGTGGGCACCTGGACCCTGGTGGAGAAAAGTGGCTACCTGAGTGTCTTGGCCTCCAGCACCTTTGTCACATCGGCCTACATCCTCATCTTTGCAGGAGCTCTGGTGATGATGACTGGTTTCTTGGGATTCTGTGCTGTCCTCAGGGAGCAAAAGAGCTGCCTCTCCACAGTAAGTCCTGGGGTACTTTCTTCGGTCCAGGGTGGGAAAATCCCACCAAAGGGCGGTAGGGAGGTCATCAAATCAGAGCTGAAACTTAGAACTGTAGGCTCTAGGAAGGGACCTTAGAGATCATCTACTTATTTTACAGATGAGGAAACTAAGGCCAACAGGAATAAAGTGACTTTACCGAAGGTTACGCAAGTAGCAAACAGCAGAGCCAACAACCTAGGTTTTTTACCTCTCAGTCCAGTGGTCTTTCTACTATGTTAACTTTGCTGTATGAGAGACTGACTAGTCTAACTGCAGACTTTGCAAATGAAGGTACAGAGATGTAACTTGCCTACAGTCACATAGTAGGCAGCTAGATAGTGCAGTAGATAGAATGCTGGGCCTGGAGTTAGGAAGACTTATCTTCCTGAGTTCAAATCTGACCTTAGACACTTACTTAGCTGTGTGACCCTGGGCAAGTCACTTAACCTTCTTTTCCTCAGTTTCCTCATCTGTCAAATGAACTGGAGAAGGAAATGACAAACCACTCCTATATCTTTGCCAAGAAAACCCCAAATGGGATAGCAAAGAGTCAGACACAACTGAACCATTAATGCTTTTTATCGATGATCCTTCTTCACAGGGTAGGGCTGTCAGGCTGAAATTAAACATCTTTTCCTTAGAGAATCAAACCAGTTCCTCAGCGATCTTCTGGCTTTGCATAAGTCTCTCCTTGCTCTAGGCTTTTGCCTAGCCTATCTTTGCTCAGTGCCAAGGTTTTCCCCATAACTGGAACTAGGGGTAAACATGACAGGTGGTTGCCTATGGCCCAACACTCAGAAGGGAACAAATAAGAGTCTCCTTTTAATGTGACCTTATATAAGTTCACATATTCTGATGCCTCCATTCTTCATGACACTTAGGCATTTGTTTTGTTACAACCCATCACGTATTCCAATAAAGGTTCAAAGCCTCTGGTGGACAGTATTACACAGAGGATACAATTTTTAAGTCTTATCTTTATTATCTTCTGAGGTGCTACATCCCAGATATACTGATCAGCCCCTCTCCCCCAACAATTTATAAGATCCCTCTTTACTAAAATCAAAAGGGAAAGCAGAAATCAGTTGGCAAGTATTTCTGGGCTACTGACTATATTCCAGGCACCAAATTAGGCTCCCCAGCGAAGGCAAAGATGAAAAGCTTACCATGCAGCTGAGGAGCTAAGAATCATAGACTAATTGCATGTTAGGACTAGGAAGGACCTTAGAGATCGTGAAATCGAACCTCTCCTGCTCCATCTCCCCATGATAGAAAATTTGGCCTAATTAGGGGAATTGATTTGTACAAGGTCAGACACACATGTAAAGTTAAATAACAGCAGAAGTTGACAGCACAGGAAAGGTCAGGTCGTGTGATGCTATATGATTAATTGCTGAGGGGATTGTTCAGTAAGGAGGTCAAATGCTATGGACTAAAGTAGTCTGGCAAGGCTTCATGGAGGTGAGATAACAGGAAGAGGGGCTTGGAGGATAAAATAACTCCCCACCAGTCCCCATCTATGAGCAAAAGGCCAGAGGAAGGTGAGAATGATGGGTAAAGGGCAGGAAAGATCAGAGAGGTTCTTCTTCCTATTGTTGCTATGTTCTACCTGCTGAAAAACTGATACCATTTTAAAAGTTGTGAATATAAAAGAATCCTAGGGTTTATTTCTCTACCATTTGGAAGGGATGGTAAATTCGACTCTGAAGGAGCAGGGCCAAGATGTGTGAAACACATGATGGGTGGGCCTTTGTTCATTAGTGTCCTCTCTTACCTACCCCAACCCCATGACTATGACCAACTCCATTCCTCTGCAGCAGAGCTACTTGGTGATAAGGAAACCACTTCTCTTGGGCAAAGCTAATAGGAATATCACCTGTTACCATGAAATTCCAAGCCTCTGGTGACCAATAATTCACAGCAGATATAATTTTCTTCTGAAATGCAGGTGTGCAATGGACCCCTCCTCTTCACTAAAGTCAGCTAGATCCTGGCTCCGAGGGCCATGCTTTGGGAAACTGGTGTTTGGTAGAGACTACAGCACTCAGTTCAGCTGCTGAGTCAGACCCTCTGGGATCTCCCTCTTCTCTCTGCCTTGTAATCTAATGGAAGGATAAGACTTGTGCAAACTCAATTTCTCTAAAGTAACTGGTACATCATTTCTCAGCATGCAGCGAGAAAAAACAGATGCATGTACTTGGAAAATGTGAGCTTTGGTTCAAATCCATTGCACTTAGGGTTCCTGCAGGCAGATGGCCTTATGCTGCCTCCTGTCTTCCACTGAGGGAATTAGGATCTTAGGAGGGGCAAATTTACCCCATAAAATTGCCAAGGCAACTGAAGTCCCAAATGTACTTGGGATCTGAGAGGACAGCAGCTTCAGGAGCCAAATACACTTGGGATGTAAAAGGAAGGTGGCTTTAAGAAACAGAGTCTGATGAATCTGAAAAAGGGAAGGCGAAGGGGGTGTGGGGGTAAAGAATACTATACAAAGGGTGGTGGCCTACCAGTCTTGTTGAAGAACAAAACAAAAAAACCACACTGGAAGTGATTCAGGCTAGCCCCAGAAAGACCTTCCTGAATGGCTAAAGTATAGGCCTGGGAAGGAGGAGACCTGTTGACTCACCATGTGAATTTGGGAAAGACCCTTTCCTTTGTGTGCCTCCCTTTCCCTCATTCTTAATATGGGAATGAAAATCCGTTGGGATGGTGGTGATGGAAGTGAGATGGTAGAGAGGAAATGACACTGGAATCTGGTCCCACACTCTATTTGTCATTGAACTTATGGAGCCATGGTTTTCCCATCCATCAAAGGGGGCTTTCATAGGGCTGTTTCAAGGAAAATGTTTTTCTAAGTTATAGGTGTTTTATACACATGAGCTATTATCATTATATAGAAGATGAAGAACAGTGAGTGGGTAAGAATTCTTTGAGCCCAAGTAGAAAAGGGATGAAAAACTTAAGGCAGCATTCTTCTTAATAATTAGCATCCACAGGTGTTCATGAAACATCGTGGAGATATCTTCTTGGGGAAGCCCTGAAACCCAAGCTCTCTGTTCCATTTGCCAAGAACCCCCTTCTGATTCTTATTCTAAGCATTCCCTTCTACATTTCCTTGATATGGTGAGACATCACCACCCTCTGTGTGAGTCCATCAGCTAGAGATGCTGACTCTGTGTGTGGTTCTACCCTTTTCACGATCTTCTCAGGCTGTCGGTCACAGAATGACAGCATCACATTGTCCGAGCCAGAAGGAAGCTTAGAGACCATCTACTCCAGACTTCTCAGTGAACAATGGAAGGATCTGGCCTCACAGAGGCACCCAAAGTCATACAACTAGTAAATGAGTGGCCGAGGTTTAGCCAAAGTTTCCAGACCCCAAGTTCACCTGCAGATACTGAACAGGGGAGGGGGAAAGAGAAGGCGCAAAGGAGAATGATGAAGGTTATTGATCTCTTTGTTGCATCCTTCATCTTAGAGATCCGAGATTAAGATAGATATATGTGTGTGTATGTATGTATATATGTGTATATGTATGTGTGTACTTTAACCTTAGAGTAGGAGAAGAGAAGGCATTTGTGTGATGTTCTTCCAGTTTGGGTAAAGATGAGATTAGCTGTTTGGTTTAAACAGCTGATCTAATGTCAGGATGTGGAAGGAGCATGACATTAACAGTTGTATGTAGGTTCTAGTCTTCTCTCCATCATTGACTTATGATGTAATCTTTGGCAAATCACAAAGAAGCATAGATTACTTGAGCTGCTGTCAATTATCTAGTCATAGACTCTCATTTTGTGGTTTTGTACAAAATTTTGGAATTGTACTCATTGAGAGCAACTAGATAATCTACTTTTTTGGAAGGGGCTATGGAGTGCTTTAGAGCTTAGTCAGTCATCCAAGATGCTAAGGTTATCTGCTGCATCCCAGGTCATCACCAGTCATCTTAACTTTTGTCCTGACACTGGACTTCAATGACTCACGAAAAGAGAGTGAGGCTGACAACTTTGTGCAATTCTACCTCACTTAAATATAATTAATACGTGACTCAAGACATCACCCCATGATGTCATTGGTCCACTTTGAAAATGAAGGACGAACAACAACAACATTTTCAATTTGTAAATGAGGACAATGAGGCCCTAAGAAGGGGCAAGATATGCTTTGTCCAAAAATCACAACTAATGGCAGAATCATAAATGTCAGTTTTCCAGGGGAGTTGACCATAAGAACTACTTGTAAAAACAACCAAAGACTGATATCTTCAGGAAGCATAGAGATCAGGCAGAATTTTTCAGTAACATGCCAGGGACATACAGTGTTTGTCTTTTTTGCCATAGCCAAGAAACCACTATAGCATCCCATCTGGATGCTACACCCCACCCAACCCCAAGACTTACACTTGTAGGCTGTAGGTTGGGTCCCCCAGAGAGATAGCTATTACCTCATGTTCAAAGTACTCTGTGGGCAAACACTCTTAAAACCATAGCTCATGAGTTCCAATGGTGTTTACTTTCCATAGTGAGCCAGGAGACACAATTAGTTCAAAGCAAAAGCATTTACAAAGAAGACAGTAAGAATTGGGGCCCACTCTCTCAAAAATAAATACAACATCAATGTAGGCACAAACTGGTAGTAAGGCACGCCTATATGGAACGCTTGTAGCCAAAGCTGCTCACGTACCATAGGGCCCCTATATACTTGTGATATCCTCACACTGTTCCCTACAAGGCACAGTGTCTTCACTAGGTAGGTCACTCAACCAGGCCTTGGTAGCCCACCTCCTGACTGTCAAGGATAATGCTCTCTGGAGTCTACCATTGGATTGCTTCTTTGCTGCCAGATCACACTCCTTGGAATTACCTCCATTGATTCAGTCTGTCTCTGTCCCTGTCTTGTCTCTGCAGAAGAATGGCATAATTCTCTAAGAATCCCATCAGGAAGTCTAAAGCTTAGAATGACCTGAGGCTGGTGAGAAGTTC